CTTGAAGCCATTGTATAATAGCCCCCCCTCCCCCCCCTCCCTCCCCCCCCCTCCCCCCCCCCTCCCCCCCCCCCCCCCCCCCCCCCTCCCCACTGTGGGAATTGTGTGGACGATTACATTATTTATGTAATACAGTCCTCTCAAATTTAATACCAAGTACTTAAATATACAGTCCACTCGCTAGAAATAAAATAAATATATACACTTAGCCACATAATCCCACAGGGGGTGTTCAGGACAGAAGTGGTTGTAGTGTTCACTTAGGACTCCAGGTGTTGTGTGGCCAGGGGGAGTGTGGCCAGGGGGAGTGTGGCCAGGGGTAGTGTGGCCAGGGGGAGTGTGGCCAGGGGGAGTGTGGCCAGTGGTAGTGTGGCCAGGGGTAGTGTGACCAGGGGTAGTGTGGCCAGGGGAAGTGTGACCAGGGGGAGTGTGGCCAGGGGGAGTGTGGCCAGTGGTAGTGTGGCCAGGGGTAGTGTGACCAGGGGTAGTGTGGCCAGGGGTAGTGTGGCCAGGGGCAGTATGACCAGGGGTTGTGTGGCCAGGGGGAGTGTGGCCAGGGGTAGTGTGGCCAGGGGTTGTGTGGCCAGGGGAAGTGTGACCAGGGGGAGTGTGGCCAGGGGGAGTGTGGCCAGTGGTAGTGTGGCCAGGGGTAGTGTGACCAGGGGTAGTGTGGCCAGGGGTAGTGTGGCCAGGGGCAGTATGACCAGGGGTTGTGTGGCCAGGGGGAGTGTGGCCAGGGGTAGTGTGGCCAGGGGTAGTGTGACCAGGGGTAGTGTGGCCAGGGGTAGTGTGACCAGGGGGAGTGTGGCCAGGGGGAGTGTGGCCAGTGGTAGTGTGACCAGGGGGAGTGTGGCCAGGGGTAGTGTGACCAGGGGTAGTGTGGCCAGGGGTAGTGTGACCAGGGGGAGTGTGGCCAGGGGTAGTGTGGCCAGGGGGAGTGTGGCCAGGGGTAGTGTGGCCAGGGGGAGTGTGGCCAGGGGTAGTGTGACCAGGGGGAGTGTGGCCAGGGGTAGTGTGGCCAGGGAAGTTTAGAACAATGGTGAAAAGTGTTCACTGAGGACTCTAGGGGGAGTGTGGCTGTGATAACCTTAAGACCACGTAAGTCAGGTAGTCTGGCCTTGGCCTTGGTAACTTGTTACGATTGCCGGAGGTGGTGGTGGTGGTGATGGTGATGGTGGTGGTGGTGTTGGTGGTGGTGGTGGTGGTGGTGAGCGATCATGTAATAATTTATTTTTTAGTGTGTGTGTTAACCTAATTGTACTTGCTTCAGCTCTCTTTGTTTTCTTCCCTTCAATATTCGACGTGTGTACAGGTTTGTGAAGTTCCGTCATTACACTCTAATCTGTGTAGGGAGTCTGCCTTCACCGTGTGATTTAGTGCATTCTTATTGTCTACTATTCTCATTCTCCATTTTTTTTTTGGTTCATTTGCTTACTTTTTTTAGTTTTTACTTGTATCCCCTTGATCGTGCACCACCTATTCCATTGGTTTCAAAATCATTGATAAATGTAGCTTCTAAATCTAAATCTTTAGTTTACAGTTTATAATTACATAAATTAAATGTTGAAAACCATTTTGACTGTCTCTTAGGTAAATAATTTATTGTAAATTTATGTAAACAAACCATAAACACTATACAAACCATAAAAACAAACCAAGTTATAAATTAAAAAACACTTATGAATAAAGTATGTAAATTCCAATTCAAATAGTCTATTGTTTGCCCTGTTTATCATCCTGAAAACTTTATATGTGGTGGTCATGTCTCTCCTGATTCGTCTATCTCCTAGTGACGTGAGGCTTAATTCCTTTAACGTTTCCTTGTAACTTGTACCTCTCAGGTTCAGGACCAATCTTGTGGCCAACCTCTGGACTTTCTCCAGCTTGGTGGTTAACGAACCTTAACACATCACTCAAGTGTTGACTATTGTACAGTTTAGAGTTTAAGTGGAAGACAAGGTCTTCAATTATTCCTTTTTGGGAGTTGTAAAAACAGTGTGTGTGTGTGTGTGTGTGTGTGTGTGTGTGTGGGTGTGGGTGTGGGTGTGGGTGTGTGTGGGTGTATGTGGGTGTGTGGGTGTACTCACCTAATTGAGTACACACACAGACATACTCACACACATTATATGCTGGTTAGCATTGTAAATGTGTGGCCACGTCTGTGGTAGAAAAAAAACTTCTTTTACAGTGTGTGTGTGTGTGTGTGTGTGTGTGTGTGTGTGTGTGTGTGTGTGTGTGTGTGTGTGTGTGTAAACAAACAAGGATCCGCCATAAATAGAATAGAAACTTAGAGCAATCACGTACTACTTCCAAGGCAACAAGGGCACATACTGTGACCAACACGCTATGATCTACTTCAACAGAATTGACGAAAATGTCTCCCTCAATATCATTAACGTCAAATAAAACAAGAGAAAAGATAGCAACCGCTGAGAACATACTATCCACGAAAAAATAGTTTGCATGATCTAAATTCTTTTCATAATACTCGTAAGTCTGACTTAATAATTCCCGTTGTGGGGGGCAGGAAGCCTATATTTAGGCTTATCGAGGCCCCACAAGGACGACTACTGCATGACCCTCCCCAGGATGCAGCCCCCCCCCCTAGCCAAAGTGCTAGGTGAACCGTCGCATCTTGTGACAGGACACGTTGTATAGTGTATGGAAATACAATATCCTAGATATGTGACCCAGTACTGTTCAACATCGTCACTGTAATTGAGCTCTGAGGGTCTGTAGTCGAGTTCTACAAGAGTTCTACAACTCGAGTAGTCGAGTTGTGGAAGTCTGTACTCGAGCTCCGAGGCTCTGTATTCGAGCTCTGAGGGCCTGTACTCAGCCCGTCCTCCAAACAAAGATCTAAAAGTGATTCCATGCACCCGCCAAACCCCCTGTTTATGAATGAAAAGCGGTTTACACACGACTCACAACTGCTGACGTTCGAACATATCCGGAACAAGTGTTTCACTGACGAATTTTGTTCGAATCACAACGCTATAAATGCTTCACCCACGTACTACAAATACAAATAATCGCCAACAGAACCTAAACACATAACCTAACCTATCCTATGCCTATATATACACAATATGCTAATATATTATAATATTAATTTATACTTTACAAAATTCCCATTTTGAATAAACAGCATGTTAAAATTTATGAATGCGTCTGTGGGGTTGACCGCTGAATGTAATGGACTTGAGTCGAGGACGGGTTGGTACTTGAGCTCTGAGGATCTGTAGTCGAGCTCTGTGGGTCTGTACTCGAGCTCTGAGGTTCTGTACTTGAGCTCTGAGGATCTGTAGTCGAGCTCTGAGGGTCTGTACTCGAGCTCTGAGGGTCTGTACTCGAGCACTGATGTAATGACATAACCCAAGTCATTACATCCCTGGAAAATCCAGCGCAGGATGACGGAAATAATCTCAGAACTAAGTCGTCTTGAATACCAAGAAAGGTTTGGGTCCCACTGTCGAGGACAGGAAACCTGTTAGGGGTCCTAGGTTAATTATTGACCTTCAGAAGGATGCCACAGACACCGGCTGCCTAACTCCCGAGCATCTATTTACTGATAGATAAACAGGTATATCAGGTGAAAGGATACGTGCCCAAACGTCTCTGTCATACCGCGGACATTGAACTCTGGACTTTTCAGTTGTGACCGACGGCATTGGCGACTGCGTTACTGGGCTGATCTTACAGGATTAACACACTGAGGGAGTTCAATAACCACATGCCACGGCTACGTCTTTGTATGTGGTGTTGTGGAATAAATATTGACAAGGGAGCCGGTCGGCCGAGCGGACAGCACGCTGGACTTGTGATCCTGTGGTCCTGGATTCGATCCCAGGCGCCGGCGAGAAACAATGGGCAGAGTTTCTTTCACCCTATGCCCCTGTTACCTAGCAGTAAAATAGGTAGCTGGGTGTTAGTCAGCTGTCACGGGCTGCTTCCTGGGGGTGGAGGCCTGGTCGAGGACCGGGCCGCGGGGACACTAAAGCCCCGAAATCATCTCAAGATAACCATAACTGTGAAGTCCAGCAGCCGCCGCGCGAAGCACACAACAGGAAAATGCTTCTCTTTACAGTGATTGTAATAACTTCTTGGAGTTGTAACGGCGGCGTTACAGACGCGGGTCGGTGGGTACAGCAAGTCTCTTGAGACAGTCGACTTGCTCCACCTGCTGACCTCCAGTAATGTTCAGCTTTATATGACACCTGAGCAACACCCCGACCCATTCAAGGTCACACACACACACACACACACACTATATTATATTATATTATATTATATATATATATATATATATATATATATATATATATATATATATATATATATATATATATTTATTTATTTATTTATTTATTTATTTATAAAATAGAATGTTTGTTCAAAGTAAGAAGCCAGATGCTAAGGGCTAGCCTCACCCAACTTTCAAAGGTGACACATGGGAGGTATGCAAGTGTCATAGGTCAGTCAGGGTCGACCTCAATACTACCTCTTAATAAGGGCATCAATAGCGACCCCTGCAATTTTCATGAAGTCTACTCGAAAATGATGTACACGAATTCATTCGGCTTACCCAAGAGAAAGAGAGAGAGGAGAGAGAAAAGGGGGAAGAGGAGGGATGCTAGAAGGCGAGGAGACTGGGAGAGGGAGGAGAGAGAGGATAGGGGAATAGACCCGGGTTCAGCCGGATAACCAATTTGGTTGGATACCCGCCAAACACACACCGAAACTACGACGTTGGTATAACGTTCGAACAAGTTTTAACACCTCCTAACCAGTTATAACAACCAATATAGCAAGTTGTAACAACGTTCTAATACGTCATAAACACGGTAAGCCAAGATGTAACAACTTTATTACAAGTTGTAACAAGCGGAAAATAGAGACAGTTTCGGTTTGTGTTTCCAGGATACCTGGTTAGGGGATTATGTTCATGTATGTGCAGCAATGTCTGCTTGGTTGGATAGATTTTAATTTTACTCTTGCAGGTTCTGGCTGCTTTTCTGGCAGCCTTGACCCACGTGGCTCTGGGTGCCATCGTGGGTCTTCCTGGGGTAACCCTTCCCCAGCTCACTGACCCTCGCTCCTCTGACCTCCATCTTGGCATTAACCAAGTGGCACTCTTTGGTGAGTAATACCTTGAGGTTCTGAACCTTGGAACAGGTTTATCTACTTACCTGATTATCAGTAATAATCTGTGTTTAATATTTGTAAAAACATGTTTTCATTATCAATTTTCATAAAATTTACTCTATATTTGAAATTTAAGAATGACATGGCAATAATAAATCTTTGAAATTATGAAAAAATTCTTTCAACTTTTAATAATTACGAAAATGTATAAAATTTAAATAAAATGAAAGGAATATTTGCTTTCGGAAGAATATGAAACGAGATAAATGTGTGTGTGAAAGATGAGCACACACTAACCTCCAGGTATCTTTTCAGGAAGTTTGATTCACGTGGGTGGAGTGATCGGGTCTATGGTAGGCGGGGTGCTCAACATGCGGGTTGGACAGCGGGTCACCCTGCTGGTGGCCATGCCCTTGTCACTGGTGTTGTGGCTCGCCCTCGCCTTCACCCCCTCCGTCTGGCTCCTCCTCTTCCTGCGCGCACTGCTCGGAGCCACCCAGGGGCTCGTCGGCGCTGCCTCCAATAATTATGTGGTGGAAATTGCACAAAAAGAAATACGTGGTCGATTAACGGGGTTTACCGACACTGGACGACAAGTGGGGTTCCTGCTGGTGTATGTGGTGGGCAGCCTGGACCTGACGTGGCGGGAGGTGATGCTAGTGTGTGGCTGCATCACTGCCGTTCCTCCCTTTATTGGGCTCCTCTTCATGCCAGACTCTCCACGTTGGCTGGTCACCAAAGGCCGCTTGGAAGAAGCTCGCAAGGCTCTCGCTTTCTTTAGAGGTCCTCGCTATGATTCCCAGCCGGAATACGATGATATCATTCAACAGTTTGAACACACCACCAACAACAAGACTGGCTTTAGTGACCAAATGAATCAAATGCGTGAACCCTCTGTATTTCGTCGGATGGTGTTTTTAGCTTTTCTTATGGTTGCTGTTCAGTTTACGGGCAACATGTCCATAGCCACCTACGTTGTGCCAATTTTCCAAGCTTCCAACTCCACTTTTAACTCCTACACAAGTGCCATTTTGATTGGCTGCATCCGAGTGGTGGGAACAGTGGTGTCCCAGCTGCTGGCGGACCGTCTGAGCCGCAGGATTATGGTGATTATTCCTTGCCTCGCATGCTCAGTAACACTGGCAGTCCTCGGAGCGTACTTCTTCGTGCAGAGCCAACAGATGGATGTCAGCAGCATCGGCTGGTTACCCCTGACCGCCCTCATGGTCTACACCCCGTTTGTCTGCATAGTTCAAGCAGCAATAAGCATTTTGCGGGCAGAGATCTTACCCACCTCCATCCGAGCGTTCTCCGCAGCCATCATGTATGTGTTTTTCTTCATGGGAATGTTTGCGGCCACCTACACCTTCCCAGCCATGGTAGGAACCATAGGAGAGTACGGAGCCTTCTGGAGCTACAGCGCCTCTTGCGTGATCATCGCCCTGGTGGTGGGCCACGTCCTGCCAGACACCCGAGGCCTCTCCTTGGAGCAGATCGATGATCTCTTCAGATATGGCAAGAAATACATCATGCAATCAATGAATTCCAGATTTCCGCCTCAGAAGATCCCCTGAGTGCTGCAGTGACCTGCATTACATTGTAGCTCAATTTACAATATTTGCAGAATCTTGCAAATGCTGCAGATAACAACATCTCAGGGCAGACTTATCACTACCTAAATATACAAGGAATGTGATCAATAATTTCTCGCACTATAACAACGTCATTGGCTCCATATAAACATAAGTATTTATCTAACCAATGGGTTCAGTATACACATTACGCTCCATTGCCCAAAAGAAAGATCCAAGCCGGAGAGGATAAGTCTTGTTTCAAACAGGACCACAGGGCTTATCCCTAGAGAGTGGAACACTATGTATCCTATCCTTTAGTCAGATGAAAGCCTTCACACGCCACATTTAACTGCCATCCGGGTCGTCGGACCACACGATTCCACTACCATGAGAAGGCACAAGACGCAACCATTTCCTGCCTTGCAATACTTGTTGCTCAGATTTTCCGCCATTCTCCACTTGCTGTTCAAAATTTTCCGCCATTCTCCACTTGCTGTTCAAAATTTTCCGCCATTCTCCACTTGCTGTTCAAAATTTTCCGCCATTCTCCACTTGCTGCTCAAATTTATAGCTTTAATGCACTGTGACTTGTAGTTGGCATTAGTGCCATACAGCACTGTAATCAGAACTGCATAGATTTTACATAATTCAAGAGTGCCAACTCTCAAGCCGTGTTATAATGTCTACCTAAATGTGCCATTAATTTGTATTTAAGGAAATTAAATGTTACCAGTCTTATTCCATGCTGCAGACTTCAGTTAACATTACCTAACTACGCTTTTATCAATCTGGTGACGTATGGCAACAATACAAAAGTACACCTAGGTTATAATAAATTCCTATTATTTATGCGCACGCATGTAAACAAAACAATTGAGTATAATGAAATGACCCTTTCTGGACAGATCCCCTGTAGCATCTCTGAGTGTGATACCGTCTCGCCCAGGACATCATTCTTGACTACGGGAAACAGACAGGACGAGACCCAGAGGGACTGGGTCAATACAATCACCACCATCTCGCAATAACGCGAATGAGACTGCGAAGTAGTTGGGTGGACGACGGAACAGGACGCCGGAACACAAAGGCATGAAGTGTAGATGGGAATGTTGGTGATGATCTCAAAAGCTCTAGTATTTCAGGGCCAAGCTTGAGCTATTACCTAAATGTCCCGACACCTATCATGGGGCTTTGCCATGAAAGGGATGCCGGAATTAATCGGAAAAACTCCGACGAAGCCGACGAGAATTGGGTAACCGGCCTTGAACCCGGAACAGAAATCGCAACAAATCTTATTTTCCCTGGAGAAGAGAATGGAGAATTTGAGAAAACCTGTGAGGAGCAGACTAGTCATGCTCCGAACCACATCCCTGAAGGTACCTCTTCGGTAGTCATTGAGCACCTGGAAACCTCTTCGGCCAAGGACAGAGAAGAGCTAGGGTAGAAATTTGCCTTCGATGCTGAACCCGCCGAAAGGACGATAGGAATAGAAAGAAATGCCAGAAATAGATTAATCCATATGAGAAAACGGAGGAACAGACCGAGAGCAGGATCCAAGTTACAAGACACATTCTCGCGAGTTGGAGACTTCCAAAGTGGCTGCACAAATCTCGCTTGTCCTGGCGAGTGTGGCTCTGAACGTTGAGGCCACGTCGGTGCTTAAACTAGGAAAAGAATTTAAAAAGCCGGACGAAAAGTGAGATTGGAACGGACACCAGCCAAACTAGAAATAGCAACCAATAACGCCTCGGCCTTCTTAGAGGGGTTTGAAAGATTCCTTCCCACGTCCCATCCCAAATCTTGTCCTGATCCCTTCCAAGTGCTGTAGAGACTAACGACTTTGCACTTTCTCCTGATACTTCCCTTCCCTTCTAAGGAAGCGGGGTTATTACACTTTTGACTCCTTGCCAGCAGCCGCACCAGACTAGTATCGGTAATGCATGCTGCGCATCGAGGGTGCATATATATATGCACATGCTGTGCATATATATATATATATATATATATATATATATATATATATATATATATATATATATATATATATATATATATATATATATATATATATAAAATTATGCAAAATCTGTAAATAGACAATGTGTGTGAATTTTGTTATGTTATTAAAAATAAAATGCTGATAAGTACACAAACTGCCATCCTTAATTTGAGATAAAACAGTTATATTTAAGACGCGCAGAGAGAAACGGTGGTGAACAAGTAACAACATCTTGTTCGTCTTAAACTGATTAAGCCAAAGTATCTTTGTGTTCTGACACATATGATGTTTTATTTGAATACAAAGATACAAACTTCTGTTATCAAATTTAGTCGCACTAAACAAGATATTTAGCCATAATTTTAAAAGTATAGTACTACCAATATGCCTCAAGTGAGGTCCATACAGTAATTATACCTTGAGGTGCTTCCGGGGCTTAGCGTCCCCGCGGCCCGGTCGTCGACCAGGCCTCCTGGTTGCTGCTGTATTGTTTATCCTGCTGTTCACTAAACCAACGGAGACATTTTGGGAGTGTACATAAACAGCCCAGCCTTCTGTTTTGGTAGTAACGATGTAGTAGTAATGATGAGGACCATAGTACATATACCGACGAACAACGAAGTTAGAACGTAGAAATCTGAACAGTTGGAAAAACCGGAAAACTATTTTTTACTTGTATTGCTTTGACAGATTAAACTAACCTATCCTAACATCCCTAGACCTATGTTGACCAGACCACACACTAGAAGGTGAAGGGACGACGACGTTTCGGTCCGTCCTGGACCATTCTCAAGTCGATTATGATTGTGAATCGTCCTGGACCATTCTCAAGTCGATTGTGATTGTGAATCGTCCTGGACCATTAACAATCGACTTGAGAATGGTCCAGGACGGACCGAAACGTCGTCGTCCCTTCACCTTCTAGTGTGTGGTCTGGTTAACATACTTTAGCCACATTATTGTGACTCATCGCCTGCATCCCTAGGCCTAATACACGATATCTGAGGCCTAATATAGTACATACGTGTGCTATACAAGGCCTAGGAAATACTACACGGGAATTAACCTGGATTATCTTGTCCGCGCTGTCACTCGAATAGTTAACTGGTTCAGTATTGAGTATTCTACAGTTTATTCTTCTCTACAGACTAATTTGTGTTATACCACATAACCCCAAGTGTTATGTGGTATAGTAACGAAAACTAACAATGTAAGACTCGTCCGAGGCACTGCAATCAGAACAAGTACACTTTACATCGTTTAACGAGGATTTAAAGTATAATTATAAAAAATATACACAATATAATAAATATTACAAAATAATATTGCAAATATTATAACCTAGGTAATAAGCTGATACTTTTAGGGGAAAGGAAGGAAAGTATTAAGTATTATCAGTATGACGATAAATAGCACATGGAAGGGATACCAGTCCAAAGGATAGGATCTGGGATAGGACGGAATAATGGAACGGGACCCAGCAACTTGGACCACTGGGAATCGAGCACCGACTTCTAAGTTGTTTTTTTTTTTTTTTTTTTTTTTTTTTTTTTTTTTTTTTTTTTTTTTTGAGATATATACACGAGTTGTTACATTCTTGTACAGCCACTAGTACGCATAGCGTTTCAGGCAGGTCCCTGGAATACGATCCCCGCCGCGAAGAATCGTTGTTACAACTAAGTACACATTTTCCTGTTGAGTTAAACAGAGGCTACAGTTAAGGATTTGCGCCCAGTAAATCCTCCCCGGCCAGGATACGAACCCATGACACAGCGCTCGCGGAACGCCAGACGAGTGTCTTACCACTACACCACGGAGACTGGTAATTTTTTAGATTTTAGGTCGTCACTGTACCGACCAGTCCAAGTGGCTGGATGGGAACGAGTGATGATCTCACGACAAGTGATGAAGATGTCCGGGAATCAATATTTGTAATAATGACTTGAGAGGGAAGGGAATTGTCAGGGAGAAAGCGCCAAGCTATTACGACTATGTAATACTGGGAAAGGGGGGTCATGATAAGGATTTGGGATGGGACGGGGAAAAGGAATGGTGCCCAACTTCCAGGACGGTCTGGGATTGAACGCCGACCTGCATGACGAATAAATTATTGACTCACTCTTTTATTACCAATTGAAATTTAACCGAATTCTTATATTTTTTTACTATTTTGTGTTTATTTTATTTGCTGTTGTCATTTGTTCCTGTTATTTCCACTTCTTTTTATCAATTGTTATGATTTATATATGTGATATATGTGATTTATATATTATACACTGACAATTTGTCAATTATTTATTGTTTTGAAACACTGTATTTTATATTGACTAGTTTATACAGACAGAAACCAATACATAATTGTTATCATACACATGTAAATACTGCATTACTGGCTATTTTTTTTTTGTCTGAGGATGGAGGAAGATTTTCCTAAATATTAATAAACTTATTAAAATTGTTATAATTTTTTCTCGAAGTCTATAATTTTCATATAAATTGACTGGTGTGCACATATATATATACACACACACATGTACATAGCATGCAAGGTAAATATGTAAACATTTATCACCCTTGATGTATCTATATTATCACTCTCCGGAAGTAAATTTGGACAAAGACGTTAGTGCAAGGTTGATTCAGAGTTACTCGAGCACATTTTGCTCACTGTATATACAGGAGTTGCTGTATATGGGCTCTCAAAAATTCAAATCAGGTTGAACTTTATCATTAATAAATTCAGCAGGAAGGAGGAACTATCAGGGGAATGCGCCAAGCCATTATGACTATATAGTACTGGGAAGGGAGTCAGGATAAGGATTGGGGATGGGACGGGGGGGGATGGAAAGAGAAGGAATGGTGCCCAACCACTTGGACGGTCGGGGATAGAATGCCGACCTGCACGAAGCAAGACCGTCGCTCTACCGTCCAGCCCAAGTGGTTAGGCTTCAACAGTAGGAATGTTTATAATCATGCTTAATTTGTATAGCCTCTGTATTAGCCTCCTTCACTAAACATTTACCATAGATTCTTCTTCCAGATTTATAAAATAAACAGTCTCGTATGCATTGTTATTCAATATTCCAGTTTTTTAAGGTTTCCACTCAAAGAAACAATCAATCTGATATTTGCAAAGTTATCAAGTTCTATTTCAGGCTGTAATTGAGATTTAAACACAAAACAGCTCTCAAAGCGCAAACTAAAGCTGCTGAAGAAATAGCGTCAACGTATTCAATTTTTTCTTTTAGTTTTAATCTGTGCCTTAATGAAGGTGGTGGAGGCAAAACCCATCAGTAATTTCAAAGCGTTATACAGTACGAAAAAGAGTACTGGGAAGACGGGACACCACGAACATAGCTCTCATCCTGTGCTACTTAGGTAATCTACTACTACTACTACTATCATACTTAGGTAATTACACATATACTGTATTATGCACGTTTCATTGCAATACCATCACACACACCTTGTATTGCTGAATATACTGTACATACAGAATATACTGTAGCTACAAACTACAGTACAGTACAGTATAGGTATTATATAAAGTTGATTTTCATAAATAATCTTTTCACAAAAGTAGTCTTTTGACTTCAACAACACTGATTACATTGCACGGTCATCACCCTTTTCATGGACAAGTGGAAGATTGTTATCAAGTACTACCCAGTCATCATCAAGAGGTGAGCACTTATCAGTGCAAAGATTTCTTGTATGGCATTCATTTGCATTGTTTTTAACATTTCTCTTACCTTCAGAATCAACTGTCACCTTAAATTCATCAACTTGACGACCTGAGGATGTAAAACAGACTATTAGGCTACAAACAATGCCAAATGCAACTAAAGTGAGACATAAGGAAGTGATGAGACACTAATTATTAACTAGATTAAAGCATATCTTGAAAACTTTAGCCATTTTGCAATTTTGAGGTTGACTTCTCTATTTTTTTGAATCCCAACACTGATAGTTTCTTTCACCATGGTCAAAACTGGCAAAATGTAGGTGAAAGTGGTATTTAGCAGTACAATATAGGAATTTATTGGCCAACAATGAAGTGAGAATTCGATTGCTGTTCAACATGCAAAATGACAAATTATTTTAAGTAGGGTAAATGCACAAATATAATACCAGTACTGTACTGCATATTTTGTTATCTGCTGAATAAAAAAACACTAGTACAGCACTCTATTATCATCATTAAATAGTTCTAATATGAATACAAATTTTAAAAAGTGAAAATTTCACCAAAGTTTCATGACATCTATATTTTATCATTTTACATCACCGAGTTCATTATCTTCAATCCCGGGTTCAATTTCCATGGCAGAAGAGAGATGTTTAAGCACAATTCCTTTCACCTAGCAGTGAAATAGGTACCCAGGAGTCCGGCAACTGTTGTGGGGTTGCATTTTGGGGAATGGTCAGTCATTGGCCTAGGCAGACCTTGAGTAGTTTAACAGGTTTCGTGTCCCTGACAAAGGGAAACTATATACCCTATAAACTACAATTTACATATATTGTACATCTCTTAATATCAATTAAAAACATAGTATATTTAACTTTTAGAGGATGAGTAGTACCGATTCTGAGATCATTCAAGAGGAGTTCTATTCACTTGGCATTTTCCTACAGTTTCCTTCAAACTAGCAATACAGGATAAGACATGCACCTCAAAAAGCAAAGAATAAAATTCAATCCAAGCGTGTGCAGTGTGGATGCAGACATGCAAAATAAAAATCTCCCCCATACAAAACATTCAGTCTCAACACACTGGCCTTCTTACCTGCTACGAACATCATCCAGAGTTACATGTACCCGTTACGAAGTTCCTCAGTCCTGTGTACTTAAACAACCATGATAGGCACCACAGAGGAAAAACAGGTAGGCAAAAGATAAATCATAAAACTTAATAATTTACCTAAAGGAAAAACAAGGTAATGTGACTGTTGGGCTGTAATGGAGAAGTGTGAACTGTGAAACAAAAGCCAAATAAACAATTAGTCTTAAATTAATTTGACACCCTAATATTAAAAGTGGCATGCAGCAGCCCAGTAGCAAATTACTTTAGTACTACCCACTGCAAAAGAAAAGCAAGAGTCAGATATTAAATAATGTGAGATAAATAGTCTAGACTAAGAAACACAGTCTAGAACTCTGAATTATCTTAATTCCCCGAATGCTCAGTGCCTAGCACGTGCTTTTTCTGTTGAGCTGAGCCCTGGCATATCATTACTGTACATACAGATTGGTGTCATGGGGCTCACTGGCACAGGTCCTGTCAGCATGTTCTCAAATTGGAATAGTGTAATAACATTTTAGTTTTCCATTTCTTCTGTGGACACACAGGAAGATATGGAAAACTAAACTAAACATAACACCAGTAACTTAGGTAATCCACTCAAGACAGACAACAATGATAAAATAATATCATAATCGCATAATTCACTATACATTATATTACAATGACAGGAACTCTATAAAACTATGTAACCAAAGAAAAGAAGAAGTGATATACAAGACTTCAGAAAACTATTATCATCGGACACATACAGTAGAAAGAAACAACACACTGGCCATCAAATGATTATCACAAAATATTCCCTGGACCAAACCAAAATTATATTACATTGCATTAGCCAATTTTTTGGGGGAATATACAATACAATAAAAAAGGACAGCAATGTACACTAAACCCTTCCCAAATTTACACTTAATAATTACACTATCACTTAAAAATATTATCCCAAAACAAGAAGAATCCTATGCAATAACCTGGACCTGGCTATAATAATACAAAACTTGAACTACAGTATAGGTACTATGAGCTTCCACACTACAGCACCATACTATGAGCTTGTATTACAAGTACAATAAAATTACACTACAGTACTGTGCAATGTTATGGCCTAAATTGAAGTATAATTCCAAGGATTCCATCACTAAAATTCTGTGTAACAATAAAATAATACAAAAAACTTTGAAATGATTATGTTGTGCACATGAGTACATGTTTTTATATTTTTTGTAGGTGGGGGGAAATCAGGCGAGTCCCATTTATTCTCTTGCCTCCTTTGCTAGCATTTGTTTTTACTAACACCTCGGGTACCTGCCTGTGGGTGATTAAATTAAACTGGTCTACGATAAGTATTTTTTATTTTGCATTTATTGTCTTACATTTTATGAATACTGTGCTAGCAAAATTCCTAAAAATAAACACAAAGGGACATCGTGGACTTGCATACTTCCTCACTGTAAAATAGAGCACTAATAAGTACATCTTACGCAGTATTTACAAGAAGCACTAACAAAACCTTATCAGAGATCACTTTTTATTAACTATTTCATTAGTTAAAACTAATACTGTAAAAGAAAGTACATACATCTGGATTCAAACATCTTGATCTTTGACATTTCATTATTTAAGTCAGAAATATCCCATGAATGGAATAGATGTTTCTCTTAAAACTAATTTACTCATAAATAATAACTAAATGATATTGAAAATACTTATAGTAAGGAATTAATTTCTCTTTCCCATTTATCAAATTGACTCACTGGCCAAAATTTGAATATTGTGCACAATCATCAGTATAATGTACTGTACTGCATAAGCACACAGAATACAGTTTCATATTTATTTTATAATAAGAATACAGCATCGAGCGTAATGAAATGCCCCACAACTCAATAGCTCCCCTGAATTCATGCACTGGACCATGCCTGTTAGACTACTCAAAGGCTACTCAATATTGTCAGTGTGTCTGCTTACCACACACACACTGACAATAATAAAACATCTAAAACATTTGGACTACCTAAATGTTTTTAATTGCATTCCCTAAGAGTGTAGGCAGAAAAGATACATAATAATTTACACTTGGAAAATATTAGGACTGAATCCAAATCTACACACACACACAAATAACACCATGTGAGACCAGAGGCCATGGCAGGATATACAAAACAGCCCCAGTGAAAAGTAGAGGTGCAATAGGCATGCCGAGAGATAATTCAATCAACATCAAAAGCCCAAGACCTTTCAACAAGCACCTTGAAGGATACATAATCAACCAGGCTATGACTCATACGTTATGCTGGAAGCAGCAGCATTGAACAGCCTGGTCAGAGACTGGGCCGCCGGGATGTTGATCCGCGGAATCAACAACAGGTAGTCAGTCACATGGTACATGCACTACACAGTCCTAGATCCAGCAAAGGATCAACCAGCGTAGGAAGTGGTACAAGTTCTCCAGCCACACCTGTCCCACTGCATAAACCACATAGGTAAAGTTGAGACATCCCTACACACGTCAAGCAAAGACTGATCTAATACCACCTGATAAAGCAAGGATATGGTGACCATCCAGAATGTTGGGCAGGGGATAAGTTGATTAAGCCAGAAGAGAGAAAAAGTGAAGCAGGGCATTATTAAATTATTCTTCTCGGATACCAGAGAAGGCAGGGGGAAGACCAGACCCTGACGAACTACAGATGCGGGAAAGAGCCAGAACACAACTAGGTGAGTACAAGTTAAGGCATCTTGAATCTAAGACTGCTAATTGTCCAGATATCCCTCCACCACCAGTCACTGGGGCTTGCCAAAGAGTCAAGGCTCAACCCCCCCACAAGCACAACTAGACGAGTACAAGAAGGCTGTCAAGGGGTGACCTTGACTACAACCTGACTTGGGCAACCATCACTAATGAACCACTGATGCACCAAAACCACTCCCTGTACCATGACCATGTGGAGACTCGGATGATGTACAGTACGTAGTGGGGTACTAAATCCACCATTCATATTGGGATCTATTAGTAATTTGTATTCATGTAAATGGCCTTATATTTTAAATAATATATTCCCAACTTAAATACATGGCATGCAGCTTTATTACAAATAAATAAATTAAGCAGAGGCTTGATCATAGATTGTTCGATGCCATTAAGTATAAAGTACTGTATATAGATATACATATATATGCAATTTAAGGCTAAGATGAATCACAGCTCCCACCAACACCAAACTACACAGATGAAGCTGTGCCTACATTAAATGATATTACTGTACTTATTGTAACAAGAATGATCAGAGAAGCCAAGATGTGCAGAAGCCAAAATTGGATGAATACAACAAAGACTGGCTACCTGCTATCATAAGAATAGCATGGAACTTTCCAAAAATATATTTAAACAAAAAAGTGTCATTATGACTTATTCAGTGGTGCTTTATGGAAAAATAGAATGGAGGGACTGCGTCACGTTGCCAGATGTAGCGCCAATAAATCCTACACTATCATACAGCATGAAACCTCTATTTGTCTCGTAATGAAAATTGTCAAAACTCAGTTATAAATATATTGAAAACAACATAAATACTTTTAAGACAAATCTGTTAATTACTTATTATTCTAGTGTGAGATTCATGAAGTCATACAACCTGGCAGTGTGTCTGGAAGGGATGGGGGGGGGGGGATCCTGAAGCTCGGCAGCTCCTATAGGTAAGCCGCTATTGTCGTTATTGATAAAGCAATCATGAAACAAATTACAGAATGCTACATACAGTACAGAACTTTATAATGCGATCTCAAATGCCATCATACCTGAGAGTTTTAAACTCTAAATAAACAATATATACAGTACAAAAAATTGGAAATTTGGGAATACTGAAACTATTTTCTAAGCAATCACTCAGTTACTCCCTGAGCCCTGTTCCCAAATGATATCCCAAAACCACAAAACATGGCAGGTTCTCTTGACTGCTCCTCTCTGACAGAAAGCTTTGCTAATGGTTCTACCATGTAAACTGAGGTGGGAACATCAAGATCAGTCTTCTGACCTAAAATCCATTTACTCCTGTGTGACCAAGAGCCTAAGGCACTTAGAGACTCCAGTCAGTGGGGAAGACTGGGAAGGGGAAGTTGATTGACATACAAATTCCGTAGGTACACAGCATTCTTGTGAGCCTTGTAGAGAGACTAGTATTAAGCACCAACGATTCAACAGTCTCCCCAAAGATATATGTTAGCTGCCAGAGACGCAGAGGACAACACCAGGGCCTCCCAGCATCAATATTCTTAGTAATGCAGCTCATCAGATCAATAGCATCATAAGTTACAGAGCAAAAAGGAAGTTAAAAAATAAAGAATAAAAAAATGCAGTCCACATCTGACAATGGTCACACACAAGTGTGAAAGTTCCCCTGTACCCAGCAAAAGCACTATCAGAGGAAGCAAAGGTTACCGTTGGGATCAAAGAACTTGATACCACCTCCTGCAAACTGTAAAACAGGACAATCAGACTTGGAGCCAGAAAATGCTATACTGCCCTAACCAGCAAAGTTACAGGTCATTGAAGATTTATCTAGTCTCAGGAACTAAATCTCTTAACTGGTAAGGACTGAGAAAAAAGCCTTTGATATATGCGAGAGAAACTCAGCCAGTTCTAACCAAAACCAATCAACAGCCAAGAGGCTCAACGGGAACTGCCTGCTGCCAAAAGAAAACCAAACAAAAATTCCCACTTTATCCCCCAGCAAGTGAATTTGTTTGGAGCACTGTCACAATCACACAAGGAGACGATATAACAGTGTGTATAATGATGTGCCAAGTTCCAAGGCTTAGACTGATAAATTCCAAGACACTGCCACAGCAGCAGACCCACTCAGGAGAAGAAACGGTGAAAGGCCAAACAGCATCAGAGAATGGAATTCTAAACAAAGCTGAAACTAAAAAGTTATAAAACACACAAGGAACTGGGTAGCCAGAGCAAATAGTAGAAAATCGAACTGGGTCTCCATAAAGCTGCGTGCCAAGCGGGTGGACACCAGGCAGCAGGTTAAGGCAGTCATCTTCCCAGACCCAACTGACATTTTAACATGTTGCCATCCAGTAGCAGTCGGGGATAGTTATCTATTCAGTAATTAGCAAAGTGATATGTTTTCCTTTGAATCCAAGGTTCCACTTGCAGGGAATGCAGCAAAGGGCAAGGACTAAACATTATTATTTACTCTTTTTAAACTAGAGCTAGTTGGTTGTTCGATGATGGATAGAAATGTCTCCACTGACTCTCCCCTTCAATTTACATGGCAAAACCATTAGCATAAATCCGTGTGTGCGCGCGCGTGCGCAAGCAGGTTGACAGAGCCTGGGGATGTGTTTGTGGTCTGAGTAGATCATATGGGTAAATGGGTTGGGAAGCAACTGAGGAAGCTAGCTCAGAAATGTCTTACATGTTCCCTACACTAAATGAGTACAAAGTTATGCAATTATTTTTAAAATTAAAATATTTACACATATATATCTTCACCATTCCCAGGTCAGTTATTTGAAATTATATTACAATAATAACTAAACATGCTTGTTTATCAATACATGCCTATCTTTCTTAATATAAGTTTATCACAAAATACTGAATAATTACTATAAATAATTAACAACAATTATGCATATAAGTAGCAGTTAAATTATAAAAAAAATGTATATATATAATTTATAAAATTCTAAAGTAGAGTGGTACATCCAGACTCTGGATTATATCGTTCCAGAAGTGATCTGGACAACAGCATGTTTTCAAGATATTTTGCCCATTTTAGAAATTTACCAAATTTAATTACAGTATATAAAATAATATTACCCGTCTTCGAGTATATTTAAATACAGGCATACCTCAGAATAAGAGTTTAATCCGTTCCTGGAGACGCCTCGCCTTCCGAAAACTCGCATTCCGAAGTTAATTTCCCCATAAGAAATAAAGGGAAATGAATTAATCCGTTCCTGACTACCCCAAAAACCCCACATCAAACTAAATTTTTATACCTAATTTACCTAATTCATCTAAATAAACCTACAAAACTGTGTTCCAGTTATTACTTACCTTGCTGTCGAGTGCTGTAGGCGTATGGAAGATGGTGAGGAGGGGGGAGGAGGAGAGGAGTTACTGTTTGGAAGGGGAGTCCCCTTCCATAATCACATCACATAACCCCATGCCTTGTAACACTATGGATACCACTTCTCTTTCTAAATTTTTCAAACCAGCCCCTGCTTGCCTTAAACTCTTTCTTATCTGCATCACTCGTTGCAGGGGTATTCTTTAGAAGGTCTTCGTGCAACACCCTGGCTTTCTCACAAATAATGGCCTCCGAAACACTATCACCCCTCAACTCCTTGTCGTGTATCCAAATTAATAACAACTTTTCCACTTCAAGTATTTGTGGTCTTTGTGCCGTTAATGTTCTTACTCCTTTTGCCACTTTAGCACCCATAATCTTATTTTTCTTCTTAAGTATAGTGCATATTGTTGATGTGGCTTTGTTGTACTGCCTACAAAGTTCAACAACACGTGTACCGTTCTCATGCTTCCGAATGATCTCTTGTTTCTCCTCTATTGTCATCCTCACATGAGCTTTCTGGCCTTTATCCTTACCACTGGCTTTCTTGGGACCCATGGTGAGATATATAATAACAAATTGTATAGACAAATCACCAAAAATTCAACAAAACACTGAAAATCCGCGAGAAGAATTGATGTGGGGGTAGTCACTGAGCGCGAGACAATAATAAACTGAGGGGCGGAGGGGCGACGATCGCCGAACCACCACGCGCTAGGTCGGCTGTACGCGTATCAACAAACTCGCGTCCAAACTCGCCTCCCGAAGTAACCATCGCCTTCCGAGACAAATTTTTGGAGTAAATACACCTCGCCTTCCGAAAACCTCGCATACAGGGACAATCGCATTCCGAGGTACCACTGTACGAATAATAGAGAATGATTTTCTGAAGAAAATTATGATAATAGCTGTCTTCTGCTAAACTTAATGAAGGTGATCAATCTTATGTGTAACGACGTTATAATACTGTAGGCAGGAGGAAGTATGATATGCCACCCAAGCATATTTGACCCCCAGGATGTCATAGTTTTCAGCAAAGTAGATTGATCTATATATTCCATTTTGTCGTCCTTGGCCAGAATTAAAACCTTGTCTCATTTCCCCCCCTTTTAATAACTCGTGCTGTGCTATTCACGTAAAATTATTTTCCTGCTCTTAAATTTTTTTTAATCTGGCTATAGATCTTTAAAACCTCCCACAATATAATGCTTCAAGATCAATCCAGTTATACGCTACTTCTAAATCTATAAAGGCAGCATACAGCTTCCTCCCTTATGTCAGAAACTTTTGAACACGGTGTGGACATGTCAAACGTGGGAAGTAAAGAAAAGTCACATACACTTATTGTATTGTACCAATTATACTACAGAATAACTTCAGCAAAAATAGCCTAAACAAAAATATAATATTTGTTAGCAAGTATTTACTACTAAAATCACAAAAATAATAAAAATATTTATAAATATAATCAGCTAAAACATATCATACAGCGTAAATTTGGACCTCACAGCGAAAACTCACAATCTGGATCTTGGAGAGACGATCCAATAGGAAAGTTTGTACTGAATGTTCCTTGGAAATTTTCTTGATAAAACCTCCAGATTTGGAGGTTATATTGAATAGTGAAGCCCCATTCTGTATAAATAATAAATCTTAACTAATTCAAAGCATATTTTTGGTAACTAAGCACCTTGTTACATGGCTATCTAATTACACAACCTCATATACATTTAAAAATCAGGCAGATAAAGCAATTTTTTTTATAAATGACGGCAGCAACATCATAGAATCAGAATGCTGTTGAACCAAGCACTGTCATTCAGACGAAAAAAGGATGACCTAAGCATTCACTATTGACAAATACACATCCAATCAATTACAGTAATTCTAGCTCACATTTTAATTTTTAAATTATAAGTTTAACTTTGGTTATCCTTCATTTATTAACATTCAAACACAGCAAATTATGATTAAATGTGAACATCAATTTATTCCACACATTCTAATTTATTCCAAATGTATTTAAATACAAGTTACACCCAATACATCCATCCACCATAATCAACATTAAATATCAATACCCATTATAAACTCCATAAATCCATATTATTTTGTGCCCAAAATTTTTCAGATAAAAATTGTGATTGAAAAGTGCCAAGAAAAAGAAATGCAAAGGAAACCAAAAATTTAAAACCATTCACACGTTGAAAGTGGAATTGTCACCTTCACTAATTTTGCTAATTTTTGGAGCAAGATGCTGCTGAATCTGCATGTACATCTGCTGAATGGATACTAAGAAGGGCGTAGAGCTCTTGCTTTTCTTCCCATAGATATTTAAATATATCCCAGCAACAACTAGCAATCCACCCCACACATATCTGCAACAAGAATAAATTATAGAAGACCAAAGTTACAAAATTATCTCATTATCTCGCAGGAAAATTCAAAATCTCAAACCCTATTTTATTTATTTTATATATATATACATATATACATACATACATACACACATTTTTCAACTGATTTTTTTTTTACAAAGTTTCACACAATATATAAATTAACAGGTTTTACAACATTAAAGAACTTTTTCATGTTTGTTTTATCAAGATGAATATTTTGGGTCAGCAAACAAAAAAAATGATTTTTGTTTATCATTAGGAAACATACATGAATGTTTTTCATTAGTAATATTATATACTTTTTTTTCTAATCTTTTCACTAATAACAACAAATGACTGTGCAGTTATATTTAGTAAGCTAGCATCTGTTTCATAAAAATAAATTCTGACTGTTACTGTATTATTATTCTTAACTTGGTTTTTAGTAACTTCATGTATTTTTAGGCAAAAATTTCAATGAAATATAAATATGACCAGTGCTCTTCAACATTATCTTTCAAGTCTTGTAACTTACTGTATGGTAAATGGTTTACTGAAGAGAAGGAAAGATAAGCATATGGTGAGGGCCTTGCGGCAGGTGGTGACGGTGACAGCAATCAGTGCTCCGTAGAGGGTTACCAAAGTCAGCACCACCTGCACCCCACAGAACCCTGCAGCAGAGAGCAACACAGCACGACCATACACTTCCCACGGAAACTGTTCAAAATATATATCTTTTTACATCTAATTCATCCATTCTTCTATGGTAATTTTGTTGCTTTGGATGAGTGCTGGAATGTGATGGTGTTTATCCATGATAATATGCATTGTGAATGATATCATGAATAAACAATAATCTTCATCTTTTTCTGGGTTAATGCCTCCTCACCCCATGAAAGTAAGAAATGGGGTACACTACATATTTAAGAAAAACAGGTATGAAATGAACTTAACATGTATGAAAATTATTTTTACAAACTGAAAGAAAAATATTCCATAAATTCAATTTGTTAACCTTTCCTGGAACAAAAATCAGGATAGAAAAAAACTTTCCTACTTGGCACAGAAATACACATACAGTAAAACAATGCTTGGATGGAACCCTGTACAATAAAAGTCCAGATGCACTGAGAGGATAATGTACCAGTCTTAAGACTGGGAAAATCAGATGCAACAGAAAATAACAGAAAAATTATAGTCAAGTTGGGTTGAGATGAAAAGTCAATTCCAACTATTTTGATATATTAAAAAATTGAGTGATGATTGAAGGAAATGTTCAGAAAAGAACAGTACCTCTGTTCATTCTGTAACCATGGCGAATATGGTCCACCCAGTACACTATTTACTAGCAGGCTCTGTGACTTAACATCCACTGTCATAACATATTTCATTATGCATTACAGTTTTGGCTATTTTAATATATAGAATGGATGTAACTTCTCCGGAAAAATAACGCAAAGGATAATTAAACTACTTCCAGGAATTAGGAAACTTCCCTAAGAAGAGAATGGAAAATTCAATTTACACTAGAGAAAAGCACAGGGTGAAGCAGAGACATGATTAAGATTTAGAATTATATTAAATTATTTAACATAATGATGGGTACATAAAATTGTATACTAAAAATATAAACGCAAGTTAGAACACAGATCAATGCATTCAAGTTAGATAAATTTCAATTTATAACAGGATCAGGCAAACACTGGCTCAGAAATAATGTTGCAGATCTATGGAACAAGTTACTCTATATCATCATAGAAGCAAACTCCCTGAAATGTGTCATGAATCAGTAGACTTTTGAATGTAAAAGCTAGATATGAATAGAAATGGTTGACATAAAAAGGGGATTACCTCCTATGTGTCATAGATTTTATGTAGATTCTTATGCTTTTATATCCCTATGGTTACTTATCAGTGCTTGCCTGTAAGTGACAACAGGGGAGCGAGTTCTTGCTCTTTATGCCCCCCACCCCCCCACCTGCCCATTTACACCTGACATACTAATAGCCTCTTTCAACATTAAAGATTAAAGTTTTCATCATATTTTTCATAATGTTGTGGATGGAATTGGCTTCAACAACTATTTCCTTCAATGCATTCCACTTGACAACCACCTATAACTGCACCTCTATTATATCTATTTTAAAATTGCTCTCGTCAACATCACAAAAACACTTTAAAAATGAAGGCATGTATATGTCGCTTTCTCACCTGAGAGGCAAAGGAGATGGCAGGCACCAACTGGTCAATTAATAAAAGACCAATAAAAATCAAGAAGAAGCCAATACTATAGGAGTAGAGGACTACATGTGTTGCGTCCTCGTTGTATTTTTTTATGGCTCCCTCCTGAACATTCCCAATGATAGCATCACATACCAATGCTAGACTTACTAGCACTACACCTGGAAAGTAATAAAATACGTATGGAAGTGACTCGCACATACTTTTATGAAGGATTTAAATATATTTGGGAAACACATATTGGATGATGCAATACAGTACTGTAGTGATGTGGGAGAGTGAATACTGACGTGTACAATTATTCTCTGATAAATAAAATTGGGTCATTGTATTTTCACAAGGAACATACAAATATGCACAATAATTAATATAATATAGAAGACAAAATTTGTGTTACAAGGCTTCGTTGAAGACCAAGAAGCAAGTCAAGCATGTCCATTTTCTCATGGATAATTACATACTCAAAATGATTCCTCCTAGAGACATGTCATGTAACAAAATAAAAATTAACTTGTCAAAATTAATTTTTAAAGTGGAATGACTTTTAAACCAAGACCAATATGACCAAAAGATTTATTTGGTGAAATATCTTGTATATTGCACGGAGAAATAAGTAAAAGTATAAGAAAGTCACTTACCAGTCAGAGAAAAATCTGGCTGAACTGTCGAGTCTGCGAGTGTGAACCAGATCAATCCTGTACTCATACATAGACAGGACACCACTTCGGCAAAGGAATATCTTTTCCCAAGAATTAATATTGAGCCAATCATCACCGGTATCAACTTGCAAGATTTGAATATAACCTAAAGAAAAATAATAAATCTTATATAGTATATGGCCATTAAAAGGCAAGAACTGAATTATAAATTAACTAAGTTGATTATTACATGTAAATAATTAGAGAAGTCATATATTTATGAAAGCCAATTCCTATTAATTTCAAGCAATTTGTAAAACTTTAGTAGTTTTATCATACCTGGGTAGGATAGTTTAGATACCCAACAGACGAATTTGAGAAACCCATTGTGCCAACAGTTAGTATAGCAATTATTACGTAGGTTCTCAAAGGTATTCTGCAAGAGAATTAATACAATCTGAACTGATACTGAACATGTAAGATTTGCAGTACACAAGTAGTATTTTATTATTTAGTTCTACACGAGATATACTCCAGACCAAAGAACAAAATTTTGTATTAGGGGGTACCTTATTAGTGAATATTAAATGCTGGGTTGGCCTAACATTTAAAAAAAAATTGTTATTGTGTATCTTAAGCCAATAAACCAATAAAATGCTAACTATGCTAACACAATATCCCATAAAAAGCAAGCATTGATTCATTAAAATATGAGAAACGGTGCATAAGTCTACACGTAGAGCAGACTTAAGTTCTATGTGCACAACCAAATTGAATATTGTAATAGTTTGAGGAAGATTTTAAGAAAAAATAGGAGGAATGCCAGGAATATATATATAGATCCAGTATATAGATTATAGATATAATCAAAAGGACTGTCTTTAAATTCAAGATAATTAGTGCTTTAAGTCAACCCTGGAAACATAACTTTACTCAAGTATTTAAAAGATATGACAATGATTCATTGAAGCAAAGTAATTTTTTTTTTAACTTTTATACTATATTAAGATCAATTTCCATGTGCTCTTATTTGTCCTACAGTCCTCACTTCCATACATTTGTAACTACAATACATCTTTGATGCATTTCAAACTACATATGTTATTACATGAATTTTACATAATTAGGTTTTAAAATGTACATAACAAACAAGGAATATTACATAATAATTATGCAAAATTATACTGTACACTACTAGTGTGAAAAGTGGAATACAAATTTTACTTTTTTAGTACAGTATTGTGCAAGTTTTAAATTATTTCAAAATTGACTGTCAAACAGCCGCACAGTCAAAACTTGTCTAATATATAGCTGTAATAAAGGTATGTAATATATACAAAACCATTTTCAACTACTGTACTACATACTACCAAAATTGTTACAAAAAACATAGAATATTTAAATAATGACACTGTAGTACAAATAAAAACAACCAATATTCCTTCACACATTTGTCACATCCAATGAGAATTACGAATAATTATTACACACGTACTTACTTCTTAGCAATGGTTCCACCAGATAAAATAATCTGAAGGAGAGCAAATACTGTATAAAATGCAAACTGCACGAGCGTTAGGTACCAGCCGTGAGGTTGCATCCCTTCCAAAGTAAAGATCAGTTCCTGAGAAGAGAAAATTAGTCACCAAAAGTGTTACATAAATCAAAGAGAGTATATCTGCCATAAAATAAAAAGGACCAACTGCCAATAAATACTGTATAACCCAAATATGATGCTCTATTTTTCCTAATATCATATCATCCATTAAGAATAGGTTTGATAAACAATGATGCAAGAATTTAGTTTAATATTTTGTACAGGGGTTCTGTGACTGCTGAATATCCAACTTATGAACATCGTCCAAATCAAAATTTTAGCTCTATGTCCAACTATACAAACCAATGCCGAAATCCACACATTAAGAACATTGCTAGTAATATCCTGCTTCAGTGGTTTATCATTGGGGGCAAAGACAAAATAAAGTCAAGCTTATTTTACAAACAAAATTTTATGATACAAAACTACAGTATTCACCAATTCCAGAAAAAAGTCTTATCAAATTATATAACTATAGTACAGTATTAGATATAAATTGAACTTTGTTTAAAAAAAAAACGGATACCCTAAAGTGCCAATTAAGTTGTACTTACTAGCATATATCCATATGCTATGTAGAAAATAAAGACAGCCGACGACAGGAGAATAAATTGTGGTGCAGGTGGGAGAGTGGACACTTGGAAACCAAACAGGTACACAATAGTCTTCTTGGGATGAACGACATTTTCCCCTAATGCCACACTAACACTGCTACTCTTACTCATAGTTGCAACTGGAAAAAACAATACTGTCTTACATATGAAGGTGTGAGTAGGCTTAATTTACAGATAATGTTTCCCTTTTAAAGAGTTCAAGTCTATGAGGAATACACTGGGCAAGAGCTTTTAACATGGAAAAAGTTGAAGGGATGAAACCATAGAGGTGAAGAATTGCTTAAGTCACATTTTATATATTTGAAGTATAGTATTGTATTAATAAGTGGAGAAATAACATTGAATTTCCCTGGAGTATGTTCAGTGGTGGTATAATACAGTATTTTGCCCAGTATTAACACAGTATATAATACAGTATTTTACAGTATTTAGTATTTATAATATTTGCCCGAAACGCTATGTGTACTAGTGGCCTTAGGTATTGTATGTACTAGCTCTATCTATAAATTCAACATTATGTTTGTAAGTAATCCTTTATGTATGTACTTTTACCTGAATAAACATTTGATTTGAATATTTGATGGCTGCAAATTCTATAAACTTTCTTTTAATGTTTTCTTTTATGATGGGTTTAATGACTGCTACTACCTTGGAAATTATAATTTACAGCAGAATTGCCCTCTGCAGTGAAAAGTTTATCCAACAGTCAAAATCCTTTATATATTTCAAATAATTTGATTTCCCTTTATTCAAACATTCAAAAATATTAACATCATTCAATATATGTATACTGTACCATAATACTGTATACACTTAAATAATTATCCAATTGACAACAAAAATATCAAACTCACCTGGTAACACCAGGTATAACTGATCAGATGATGTACTAGGGGTATAATCTTTATTTTAATGACATCAATGGATGCCTCCACTTTCCATTTGATGTTACGTAATACAAGTCATTGTATGGAATGGAGAGTATGTGCTCATCATTCTATCCGTTGGGTTAACCATTCGGCTGCTGGAAAAAAAAAAAATGTTCAAACTACCAAAGATCAATAGTAAATTTATTTAAAGCTTATACTATAAAACATAAGAAAAGAAGAAACTCCAAAACACTTATTGGTTTTATTACTATTTTTATTACTGCCTCACCTTACTGGTGAGACAGTTCTTATTAATACCCTATCAAACTCACACATATATACATCTAACCTGTTCAATTCTGCACTTATATCATTTAGTAAGAGCTCCCAGGACAGAGTCCCCCGGGACACTCCACTTGCAGCAGTTTCCCCATTCAGACATAACTCAATTTATGCATTTGACAAACTTCTAGTACCCATTTATTGCTAGGTGAACCGAGGAATTAGATGATAGGAAATAAGCCCAACCATTTTTGCCCTGCCCGGGATTCGATCCGTGCAGTCCCCGTGGCAAAGAAGTAACACACACACACACACACACACACACACACACACACACACACACACACACACACACACACACACACACACACACACCTGGCATTTTGCGAGCACTTTGACCTGGGTTCGTATCTTAGCCGGGGATGATTGACTGGGTACCAGCCCTTAACTGTAGCCTCTGTTCACCCAGCAGAGCGAATGGGTGAACAGAGTTAACGATTTGGGGAGTCGTTATCCGGGGAAAATTAGGATTAAGGACCTGCCCGAAACGCTACGTGTGCTAGTGGCTGTACAAGAATTTAAGTACTCTTGTATATATAAATAAATAAATGAAATTAATGATCGATTCAAGAACAAAACCATCTGTACTACCAAGACCCTAACTACAATAACTAACCATGCAATAATAAACACAGTGCTTTATAACGGCATGTATCACAGGTGATGTCGGCGATGATATAGTCCGCTTTTGATCTAAACAGTTCATTTTACACAATAGAAATGCACCAGGCGTCACTGCCCAGGTGTTGCTCTGACAGCCAACGAAGTCACCAAATAACTTCCAATCAGTTACTTTTTAAAAAGACACTTTATGTTATCTTTAGGAAGGCAGGTAGCATGTCTGATGAGCTCTCATTCATGACAGGCTCAAATGTACACACACACGCACGCAGACGCAGACGCAGATACTCACACATGATAAAACACACTTGCCACGTCAGATGGTCTTGGTCTAAGTGCCACGGCCGGGGTTTGTTGTGACGAATGCGTCACTTGGTACACAAGACGGATCGCACACACACATTGTTTTGATTTTTTTTTACCATTTCGCACACAAAATTTGTACGTTCCGTAAACAGTTTATGTACTCACCTAATTGTACTCACCTAATTGTGCTTGCGGGGGTTGAGCTTTGGCTCTTTGGTCCCGCCTCTCAACTGTCAATCAACTGGTGTACAGATTCCTGAGCCTACTGGGCTCTATCATATATACATTTGAAACTGTGTATGGAGTCAGCCTCCACCACATCACTTCCTAGTGCATTCCATTTATTAACTACTCTGACACTGAAAAAATTCTTTCTAACGTCTCTGTGGCTCATCTGGGTACTAAGTTTCCACCTGTGTCCCCTTGTTTGTGTCCCACCCGTGCTGAAGAGTTTGTCTTTGTCCACCCTGTCAATTCCCCTGAGAATTTTGTAGGTGGTTATCATGTCTCCCCTTACTCTTCTGTTTTCCAGGGATGTGAGGTTCAGCTCCTTTAGCCTTTCCTCGTAGCTCAATCCTCTCAGTTCCGGGACGAGCCTGGTGGCATACCGCTGAATCTTCTCTAACTTTGTCTTGTGTTTAACTAGGTATGGACTCCAGGCTGGAGCTGCATACTCCAGGATTGGTCTTACATAAGTGGTATACAGGGTTCTGAAAGATTCCTTACACAAGTTTCTGAAGGCAGTTCTTATGTTGGCCAGTCTAGCATATGCCGCTGATGATATTCTTTTGATGTGGGCCACTGGGGACAGGTTCGGTGTGATATCAACCCCCAGATCCTTCTCTCTATTTGACTCTTGCAGGATTTCCCCTCCCAGATGATACCTTGTGTTCAGCCTCCTGCTCTCTTCGCCTAATTTCATCACCTTACACTTTCCTGAGTTGAACTTTAGCAGCCATTTTCTAGACCATTCCTCCAGTTTATCCAGGTCATCCTGTAGTCTCTGTCTATCTTCATCCGTCTTGATTCTTCTCATAATTTTTGCATCATCAGCAAACATCGAGAGGAACGAGTCTATACCCTCTGGAAGATCGTTCACATATATTAGAAACCGGATGGGTCCAAGTACTGAGCCCTGTGGGACTCCGCTGGTGACATCTCGCCACTCTGATGTCTCCCCCCTCACCGTTACTCGCTGTTTCCTGTTGCTTAAGTACTCCCTTATCCACTGGAGCACCTTCCCTTTTACTCCTGCCTGTTGCTCCAACTTTTTTTAACAGCCTTTTATGGGGTACTGTGTCAAAGGCTTTTTGGCAATCCAGGAAAATGCAGTCGGCCCACCCTTCTCTTTCCTGCCTAATTTTCGTTGCCTGGTCATAAAATTCTATTAAACCTGTGAGGCACGATTTACCATCTCTGAACCCATGTTGGTGGTGCGTTACAAAGTTATTTCCCTCCAGATGCTCTACGAGCCTTTTCCTCACAATCTTCTCCATCACCTTGCATGGTATACAAGTTAAGGAAACTGGCCTGTAATTCAGTGCCTCTTGCCTGTCACCCTTTTTGTATATTGGGACCACGTTAGCTGTCTTCCAACTTTCTGGTAAGTCTCCTGCTTCCAGTGACCTGTTATACACCATAGAGAGTGGCACACTTAGTGCTTCTGCACCTTCCTTTAGTATCCATGGTGAGATTCTATCAGGCCCAACAGCCTTTGTCACATCCAGCTCCAGCAGACCCCTTTTGACCTCATCACTGGTGAGGTCAAATTCCTCCAAGGTTGCTTGGTTTGCCGCCTCCTCATTTAGTGCAGGGGCTTCTCCTTGTTCTATTGTGAAGACCTCCTGGAATCTCTTGTTAAGTTCTTCACACACCTCCTTGTCATTCTCTGTGTATCTGTTCTCCCCTTTCCGCAGCTTCATCACTTGTTCCTTCACTGCTGTTTTCCTCCTGATGTGGCTGTGGAGCAGCTTTGGTTGGGTCTTGGCTTTACTCGCAATGTCATTTTCAAACTGTCTCTCTGCTTCCCTCCTCACTCTGATGTACTCATTTCTGGCCCTCTGGTATCTCTCCCTGCTCTCTGGTGTTCTGTTATTTCTGTAGTTTCTCCATGTTCTTTTACTCAGTTGTTTCGCTACCTTACATTCCTGGTTGAACCATGGGTTTTTCTGTTGTTTTTCGTTTTTCTCCTTTTGGACGGGGATAAACCTGTCTGCAGCTTCCTGGCACTTTTGGGTGACAAAATCCATCATGACCTGCACATTCTTGTCTCTAAGTTCTGTTTCCCATGGTATTCCCCTGAGGAAGTTCCTCATCTCGTCATATTTTCCTCTTCGGTAATTCAGTCTTTTCCCCTCCACTCCCATCCTTGGATAGGTTATCCCTACCTCCACCAAGTACTCAAAGGTCAGTACACTGTGGTCACTCATTCCTATGGGGGCTTCAACTTTGACTTCCCTTATTTCTGACTCAATCAGGGTGAATATCAAGTCGAGTCTAGCTGGTTCATCATTGCCTCTCACTCTTGTGGGTTCCTTGACATGCTGGCTCAGAAAGTTCCTTGTTGCCACTTCCAAGAGTTTAGCTCGCCACGTATCTGCACCACCATGTGGGTCCCCATTCTCCCAGTCTATCTTTCCATGGTTGAAATCACCCATGATTAAGAGTCTTGAGCCATTCCTGCAGGCAACTGAAGCTGCTCTCTCTATTATATTAATTATATTACTATTATATTAGTTATTATTAATATTATATTAATTATTATTACTATTATATTAGTTTATGTGTCACCATTAAAACAATATAATGCTATTGACAGCTAAAATCTTCTACCTAGCTAAAATCTTCTACTTCTACTAAGTAGTTATATAGTTATTAAGTGAAGTTGAGTGATGTGATAGACATAATCTGGGTTTCAGAAGAACAACCCATATGCCGGTGTAAACTCAACCCACCCACCCCCATTTTTTTATTAACAAGCTTAGGTATACACAGCAATGTGCTGTTACCCTACTCTGTATGAAAGATTACACAGTGTAGATCAAAAACTAGCTATAGTTCTTCTAATATTCCTATCTCACAGGATGGATAGTCATACATGGAATCAGGGGAGAAAATACCAGCCTCAATACAAAAACAAATCAACTTTGACTAAAAATGAGGTCAGAGGCACGGGCTATTCATGCCCGTGCCACCTCTTGGGTGGCTTAATCTTCATCAATCAATCAGTTGAGCATCTTAGAGGTGTTTGAGGAGCACTGTGGCCGGAGACGATTGATTGATTGATGAAGATTAAGCCATCCAAAAGGTGGCACGGGCATGAATAGCCCTGAAGTGGTGGCCCTTTTGAGCCATTACCAGTATCAATAGCTGATACTGGAGATCTGTGGAGGTGCGACTGCACCCTGCGTGACGGGAGATGTCTCCCGTATCTGGAGACAGTTCCTAGTGCCTGTTGTAGGGGGAGCGAGATGTTGTCCTGATAAGAAGCGATGCAGGTGAAGGACGTGAAGGAAGATTTGCCCGAAACGCTGTACGTATTAGTGGCTTTAGGTATTGTATGTACTAGCTCTATATATAAATCCAACATTATGTTTGTAACTCATCTTCTATGTATATACTTTTACCTGAATAAACATGTTGAAATTTGAATTTCAAATACTGTATCCCTCTGTTGTCTCGGCGCCTGGGAAGAGGGAGAGAAGGATAATACCTGAGGCTACGGTTCGCTGCATTAACTGATAGCCCTTCTTCCACCATGAGTTCCTCCTTCTACACCTTGTCTACAACCCTTGCTGATCAACTACCTTCTTGGCTTAGAAAGAAAATATATAATGTCTGTTTGTTATTGAAAATTTGTGATATTTAAAAAAAACAACATTTATTTGGTTTCATCTTCCATCACATAGGGCAGCCCGTCCTCATAAGATTTCCACTGTCGCACTAAAGGGCCCCTTATCCTAACCAACCAGAGGACCCAAAACAGAAAACGGGACAGTATGTCAATTTTCGCGAGCCGATTCCATTTTCTAGTACGACGATTTTTTGTTGACCTTAAGTAAAGTGTACATCAAAATGCGACGTTCTATTAAGAGGAGGTATTGATGAGTGAGCCAGAGTGTGCAGACCATTTTCCTGACACGGTTAGCAATCAGTCAGATGTTGACCAGACCACACACTAGAAAGTGAAGAGACGACGATGTTTCGGTCCGTCCTGGACCAATCTCAAGTCTTAACAATCAATCAGATGTTGCAGGGCAGGTGATACAGACCCCCAGAGGGGCCGCCCAGCCCCCAGCGCCCTCCACTCTCAATAAAAAGTGTGGAAGTTATCAAGGTCATTATGTAGGAGGTGGCTGGCTGCATGGCGCCTCTCGGCACCTTCACCGCCATAAACATACTAATGTGTTAGTTTACATTTATAGGCACGAAAGCACGAAGGTATGTTTACAAGCACTTGATGTTTACATACAGAAGCACGTGTGCATGGTGTTACATTTACAAGCACGAGAGATTGCCACTGGTGCTGTGAGGAAGAGATGAGGAAGGTGTGAGGTTACCACTGGTGCTGTGAGGAAGATATGAGGTTACCACTGGTGCTGTGAGGAAGATATAAGGTTACCACTGGTGCTGTGAGGAAGATGAGGAAGTTATGAGGTTACCACTGGTGCTGTGAGGAAGATGAGGAAGATATGAGGTTACCACTGGTGCTGTGAGGAAAATGAGGAAGGTGAGAGGTTACCACTGGTGCTGTGAGGAAGAACTCGCTCCACCATTCATGGTGGTAGTTATCCTTCAAGGGGAGCAAGTTTTACTCATACCTCATCGTGGTGCTTGCTGGG